CCTGCAGGGCTAGAAGAAAGCTGAATACTTGCACTATGGCAAATAGTGTTTGTTAGTTATCAGTAATGCCAAAATTACTCTTGGATTTGCTGTTAGGATTTGGGATTTTAAGAGGTTAGTTCCTTGTCTGAATCTCACCTGGATTTCAGTGCTGAAGATAACTTCCAGAAGTAGATCATCTTTTATTGGTTCCGAACATGGGGACAGTAAACAATGATTAAGATTAAATTTCTGAGGTTCAATTTCACAGTTTCATTTCTTGCTTTGTTATCTATGCCTGTGGAGCAGATGAGCAAAAGACATGAATGGTTTACATGGGCTTTGGAGCTAGTAGGTTCTTCAGGGTCTCTAGCAATGCCTTTAAGGTCATTTCAAGATTCACCTCTTTGAGATGTCTTAAGAGTGCATGGCTGTGTTCTTCTGCTTGTTGCAAATCATGAGGAAAGATTTCTGAGGGAATTTTGTGGTGATGCTAGCCTTCCTGCTGCTTCAGACAGTCACTGCTGCCCGTGATGCAGCCCTAACCTTTAGGTGGTAAACTCAGAAGAAAAAAAAAAAAGAAAATCATTTTTGAATTGCCCAAGCCTTTAGTAACAAATCTGAAAAAAAAACAGGGCTGGGATATTAGTGCATGAGTAAGTCCTACAGATGTCCATATTGATGCACTTCTTAGCATGGTTTTGTCCTGTATTGATTAGTCTCCCCCAGACACAGTCTGGGCACAGTTCAAGAGATTTACATGCATAGCTACCAATAAGCAGTTTGGATACAGTCATTCTCTTCGGGAAAGCGATTTAACCTTGGGGACAGGAGGTGTGCTGTACCACTTGGCCTCAGAGCCAAACAGTTGTTGGCTTGAATTATTTAGAAATACACAGCAAGCCAAATTGACTGGGGGATGAACAAGCCAATAACTAGGTCTGAACGGTCAGCCTAAGGAACAGCATAATGGGGAGGGAATTCTTGCATCAATTACAACGATGCTGCTCATCTACAAACATTTGGTTTCTGTTTTAAAAGCGCTGGTCTTTCAAAGATGTTTGAAAGCAAATTCCTGCAATTTTTTTTTTGTTTGTTTGTTTTTGTTTTGTTATTTCTCATAGCATATCTGCGATTGTGGGAACTCAGTAGCACAGTGTGGGTATGCTGCAGCAGATTACCGTGCTGCCAATAATTTTTGAGCAGCATTACTGTACTGGGGTCAAAAATGGTTGATTACACAGGAGAAGGATTTACAAAGCAGTTGTTGGGTGTTTAGATAATGCCAGATGGAATATGAGTCTGATTGCATTTGACTTAGAAGCAATTTCCTTCCCCACCTTAAAAACAAAATCTACCTCTGAAAATGTTACAGCTACGTTCCACGGTAATATGTTTTAGTGAATTTTATAGGATCAAGAATTGTAACATACAGCTAGTACATTGTCTATCTGGAAGGAGATAACACTTGCATCTTTCACTAAGATACATCAAGATCATTGTTATATCAAATTCGTTTTCATTCCTGTTCCAAGAACCTACAACACAAGTTATGCAATTATGAAAAAAATGTTTGCAGAAATTACAAGAAAAACCTGATAAATGAAATCTGCTATCCGCTGTCAGTCACACTGATGCTATTCCAATAAACACAAACATGTATTTGAACACCCAATTTAAAAAGACAGAATAAAGTAATTTATGGCCAAAATTGTGCTTCTTTCCTTGCAGCATCTAAATATGTATAATGCTGTACACACCAAAAGTGCGCTAAGTGAGCACTGCTGACATAGAGTGCTAAAAAGGCAATGCTACGGTTAGTGTCATAGTTACAGCATTTCAGTTAACAGTCTTCCTGTTCTGTAACAGGTCCCCTTTCTGTGAATGCACTGTATATACAGTCTTCATGCAATTAGGAGCATTTTTAGGGGAGAATGTTTGGTTTTAGGAAGAGGCTTTGCTTTCAAGTCAAACACAGTCAGATTTATATCTCATCTGCTATTATCTAAGTGGAGCTTTGTCTTCCAGAGGAGATCTGTCTTATAAAGTGCACATATTGGGCAGCCTTCAGTTCAGAAGTGGATGCAAAATACTTTTCCAAGTGTTGCTCTTTATTTTTTTCCTTTTTCCTTTTTATGTTCCTGCACACAACTCAAATCTTGCTTGGAAAACTAATCAATCATTTCCTTGTGGGAACTGCCTTTCCATTCTTTCACTTTTTTTCTGAGCAATTCAGAAATGTCGATGTATTAGTAGCAATTCAGAAGAGGTGATATGGTATCTCCCCTTCATAAATCAGGAGCAAGGGTCCAGAAGCGTTTGCTAATTTGAGGGCCCAATTTGATGACCTCATTTCTAGGGTCAATATATTTTGTGTGATCAAATCATATTCTCTTTCTTTTTTTATTTCAGTTGCATCAGTGAGTGCTCAGAGGCTCTGTAGTCTGGTCTTCTGGGCTTGAAGCCAAAGAGCAAAGAAAAAAGGAATACTTACTTAGTGACCATCTGAGCTAAGATTTAGTGTAAAAAGCTTCCCTAACATTGCACAATAAGTGTGGAGCAGAAACTTGTGTGTGGTACTTTCTCCAAGTAAAAACAAGACAGATAATTTATTTAACAGGTAATTTATTTAAAGAGGATACTTGGAGAAAACAGTCCAAACTTCAGCTTTGACTGCCTGTCCAGATTTTCCTTATCACATGAAGTAGTATGGGCCTTGTGTATGGTAGAGAGGTACCCGTATTTTACTCAGAGTAGTCATCTCATGAGAATACCTGGTTCTATGTCTTCATTCAGCTTAATATCCCATTGCATACTCTTCCACTTGAAAACAACTCATCTTTGCTTGAAACTGGTCTGTACTGTCAGCTCAGTGGCTTTACTATACTACACAGGGTGGTGTTGCTGACTGTTTAAAACTATCACATTAGACTGCTTACAATATAAAATGAACTTCTGCATTTTAAAAGCTTATGCAATGTGGTGAGATTCCTGGCAAGTGTAAAGGGAAAAGGTGTTAAGGAGAGCTGGCAGCTTCTTAAAGAAGATATTAAATACAAATTCTTCCAATACGCAGAAAAGTTAAGGATATGCAGTAGAAGACCACTGTAGCTAAATCATGAACATTTCACTGCCCCTAAAGGGAAAAAGGGTTTTTATAAAGTGGAAAATAGGTCCGATTTCCAGGAGCAAGGCTAAAAGAAGAGCATGTAGGGACAATAAAATCAAAAGGTATTCAGGTGTGCAATGGGTGGTAAGAACTTATTCTTTATGTACATTAGTAACAAAATAAAGACTCAGAAAAGTGTTAAGAGTGTGAAAGGAGTCAATGGATAATGTTGGGAATGCCAACATGTACTTTTTGTGGGTTTGCATCTTTCCTGGGAAAGTACTGGGACTCCTGTTGCTGTTAACACAGGGGCTATACAACCACTGCTATCCTGGGCAGGTGCCAGATCTCAAGTGCACAAGTGAGTGTCTTTTTATAACGTGTTATCTGCACTGCGACATACACCTCTCATCCCCACCCACCAATTTTAGAATGATTTGTCTGGAGGAAATGGCTGTGCAATACATGAAATACTGATTGAAGATGACGAGGGAAGGGTTTAAGGACAGTCCACTGTTAGAATGAAGGCATGTGTCAGGCGGATCCCAGAGGCGGGCACTTTACAAATGCTGGTCAGTACTTTTCTTAATGGTTTAGATGGTGGCAGCATTGAGCGTGATAACACTGTGTAGAAGATACTGAGCTGGGAAGGATGAAGGGTGCTGAGAAGGAAACAGCTACAACTGAAAGTGATCTTGATCAGTCAGAAGTAATCATAAAAAGAACAGTCACAGTTCAACATATACTACTTTTAGGAGTAACCAGCTTCAAAGATAAAGGTTTGAGAAATAATTCCTAGGGAGCAGTTATTCAGAAAAAAAGTCTGACAGTTGCATTGAACCATAAGCCAGGACGTGAGTCAACAGTGTCATGCTGTGGTGTGTAGCATTCTGGGGTGAATAGGGAGGAAAACAGCCTGCAGCACATGGAATGAATAACCTGTTATCTATGCCTGCTCATGATAACACAAATACTACACACTGTGTAGGAACAGAGCTGGTGCTGCCTTGGTGAAAGTAAGCCAGCACTGGAACAGATTGCCTGGGGAGGTTATCAAATCTTGATTTTTGGATGTCTTCAAGAACAATTAGGTAATCATCTCTGAAAATAATAGAAGTTTTTGGAGATTTTTCTATAAGGCCTTTTCTAGATAAAATGATGTTGTTTTCTGACATGCTTCCTCTCTTTAAAAAATAAATAAATGTCCTCTTCTTGATGTATCACTGTTCTGTGTAAAGGGATTTCTTCACATTTAGCAAATCCATAGCAATTATCTCAGTACAGAACTTTATGGGACAATGCTTTAAGCTACTAATATGTTAGACCAAGTTCTGAAGCAGTAAAAACCCCAAGCCAGAACATCTTCAATCAGAAACACTCTGAGAGAGTTCCTTACAGACAGAGTAAGGACCAAAACTTGCTTTCTAATCAACATATTTTCAGAAGACTTTGAAAATGCATGTAACAGTCTGACATACCAGCTGTCACCAGGAATCGTGTCCCCCACCAACACCCGCGTGCAGTATGTTGGCACTCATGTCACACAGAGAAGGAGTGTTGACAGGTCCTCTTGCTAGTCACCTTAGAAAGGGAGAAAAGAAATCAGGGTTCAGCAAAGGAGAGCTGGCAATCACAGGAGAGCATCAGAAGCGACAGAACCAGAACAGTCTGAGTAAGGAGCAGATGACTGACCTAGGGCTTTTACAAGACCAAGGAGAAATGCAGGCAAGAAGAGGGAAATATTCTGTAGCTTCATCCGTGTTTACCTTGGTGTTTGGGACTGACTTGAATCCCTGTCGTCCTGGGACAGCAATGCAATGCCATTAACGGCCAGTCTTACCAAATTCTAGAGCCTCCAGTAGGCTTTACTCGCCTTTGTGTTAAAACTGAATCATGTTTTCTTTTGACTTAGAAGCCAAACTTGATTTCCAAGCCAATGCTTGACAGCATCCTTTGTCTTCGTGATGAGAGATGGAAGTATGTCCGGAGCCTGCTGACCCCAGCCTTCAGTGATGCCAAACTGAAAGAGGTAAGGTATAGGCAGTGTTGCTTTCCTGATTTAGAAGGTGTAGTTTTCTTTTGTGTAAGCATCTACTCCGTATTAAGGATAGGTTAAAAATTCTGCCGCTTTTCAATTTGCTTAGATCTTAGTAGTATATCCACTTGAGAGTGTACAATGTGATCCATGTCATAGACCGGTGTAAGTCAGAATAGCTCATCTGAGGAGATGATCTTCTCTCTCTATATATACTATATATATCTATATATATCTCTATATATAAAAGTGTAGCAAAGTAAAAATAAATAAATAAAATCTTACTCCAGCCTTTTTAGGAATGAGCTAGAGTACAGAAAAGGTTATTGCTCCCAACTGGAGCGTAGCTTTTCATTATTTGCAGAGTCAGCAGCTCTCACGTTAACACGGGAACTGCTGTCAGTCTATTTTCATTTCTCCATCTCCTTCCCCCCTCCTTTTATTCTTTAATCCTTTCATATAATAAAATAAGTCACTGGAACAGAATGTCATTGCCAGATAAATACCTCTGACTGAAAATAAATGTCTCCGTGTTGACCTGATGCTAATTTCCTATAAACGTCTCAGCATTTACTTAGCCACAGGAACCCATTACTCAGTAACAAAGTTCTATTCTAGTGACACGATATCTCTTAATTAAATGCAGATAAATGATCGACTGGTTAAAGTCTTCTTTCAAAGGAAAAAATAACCAATAAACCACCACTTCTTCCTTTATGGATTTTATTCTGAAAGGGAGGCATGCCTCAATCCGGTGCCCAGTTCTTGGTTGTAAAATTTTCCACTGGGCAGACGCTTGTGTTGTTTTGACATGCCGCTGTCGAAATCCACAGTAACATCTAAATGTGTCTGGCTCTTTCAGCTCTATAGACAGCGGTCGCTTAGCAACGCCGGCTGTCACCTCCTTATTATGGTAAATTCTAATTGGCTGCAAGCCTGCTGGAGATGCTGATTAATCACAACTGACAATATCATTGGTAATGCACCTCGACATTTGCTCTGTCACCGGCTCCATCGTGGAATTTTATGGACACGAGGATTTTTAAATATTCAACCGATTAGTCGCTGATGGTGTGGTGGGAGAGGAGAGTTTTTGCATTTTCTGAGCTGAAATTAATCTGCCTTACTGCAGGTCATTGGCAAAGCTCAGCTCCCGACTTTGGCTCTCTGCTGGTGAATTGACAAAAGATAATGCCCTCTTTCCCCTGGTTTGCACAGAGCTACCTCTGCCAGCACCAGCAGAGAGAGGTGAGGGTGAGCAGGCTGAGACCCTCACCTCTCCCTCACAAAGTGTCCTGCTTTGGGGCCAGGCAGATGCAGGTCTGCAGGGTTTGACTCAATGAAACTGAGGTGGGAGAAGTCACGTTGCTCACTTCACAACGCTTTGTGGTGGAGTTGCAGTGCTGGAGGAGGTGCTGGTAGAAGGTAAAATGGTGGGCCGCTTAGCACCTTGTATCCAGCATGCACGCAAGAATTGCAATCTTTACTTTTACTTGATGGTCAGCTTTTCCTGTTCAACCTCTTCCAAACTTTGTGTACAGGGTGTAGGCTCTAAGTTACCTGGGAATGCTATTTTTCTCCCCCTAGTCTACACAAAGTAGGAAAACAAAGAGAGAGAAGAGTAGTTTTTAAAAAGGCCCAACTTTATTTCTCTGTTTCATTTATTCACAAGAAGACTGTCCCTTCCTGTCCACAGAAATACTGGCAATAAGTCTATGTTAGCTTAAAAGCCTCTTTTGTATGGATGTACACCGCAGTTCTCTTTCAACCCAAATAGATGGATAGTCCTTGGATCTGAAGTTAATGCAACTCTTTACTCGTATGCTTCTCGTGTTGTTTAATTTAGTAGCCATACCAACACTTCTTGAAGGAAATCAATGCTCATTAATTATGATCCCACTATTTAACTCTCCCACATTCAGTACTCTGCCAAAACTTACACAGAAGCATGGAAATAGAAATACTGTGTTCCACTATTGGCCATACTAGAGAGTATTCAGGGTTATCTAGAAGGCATCCTGTTAATAACAAACTCTTCCTCTCTAACCCAATGAATTATAAATGAGTTAGTTTTGTTATGAATTTATTGCATAAGAACTTGGACTTGTTGTTTGATACTTATTTATATATCCTGCTACATAAATACCTCATTTCTTTTCCAAGGACGCTGATTCCTTTGCCACAGATATCTGAACTCTGAAAAAAAAAATCACCACAATCTCCCTGTCTGTTCACCCTGGATGTCTACCTTTCCTTTGTTCCTCTATGCAAATGCTCCGGCATCACTGGGAGACCATATAGCATCAGAGTAACTCTGGAGCGTGGTTTTCCTGTGTGCTGCAACCCCCTAGATGTGCTATGAACATACACTTTTCTGTCTGGACACTCCGAAAGAACTGGGAGCTATTAGCCCGTGACAGAGCTATAAATGTTAACAACTCTGTCCTCCCCATTGCAATTCCTTCAGACAGAAGATGTGCAGAGAGCCAGAGTTGAGTACAGACTCCTGATATCTCCATTTCAGAAACACGTGATTCTATAATGATGCCAAAAGATAGCTGCAGTACTAGCAATAACAGAAACTGATCATCTACTCTTTGAGCTGTCCAGTATAGGACAAAACCCAGAGAGAATATATTTTGCTAGGGTTTGACCTATAATACTCCACTGAGCTGATGTGGCTGGGGACAGAGATGTATTTTGCCCTTTTCTCTCCACAATATTGGTGTAGTGTCACTGAGAATTTCACTAAGCATGATAAATTTCATCTCCGTTTGGCAAAAGCTTCCAAGAACTGATTGCCAAATGAATAAAATTTGATCCCGGAAATGTGTACAGTTAGGAGCAATTAATTGAAACCAGAGGTTCTAGAACTGTTGGGGAGCCAGTGCAATGATTGCTGCTTGAATTTAGAGATTGATTTTCCAACACTTTCCAAGAATTTTCTAGCATCTTTTGCATTTGCTCTGTATCCTCAATTTCTTACTTAAGAAGCTGTGCTCTGCTTTGCTAGTGTTGTCCAGGAGTTCCATACTCTCTGTGTTCTCTCTTTTAAGTTTTCTTTTTCAAATGTATATGCAAAGATTAATAAAACACTCCACTTCATCTGAAGGAAGGTTTGGTTCCAAGTAACACTAAATTCAACTGCTGTAATGGTGAGCATAGTTAGATGACTTTTAGGTGTGATACTGCAGTAATATTTGGCAGTCTCACCCCACATGAGATGCCACTGGAATTGGTAGCAGATCTGATATTAAGCACTTCACAGTGAGACTCTTAAGTAGACTCTATGTACCATTGCTGTGGGAGCACTGAGAATGAGGAAAGATAGGAAGCAAGACAACCAAGGCATTTCACTTCCAGCCTTCATTTCACAGACTGCCTTTGTGAGATCAGTAGAAGCTACTTAAATTCTCTGTACATGAAACATTTTTCATTTGTTAGATGGGAATATTACCAACCACTGAAAGTTGATCCAAGCTGTAATGCATGAGAAATTTGTGAAGTAATATAGCTGGAGGTTTTAAAGTAAAAGATGAAGTTCCCTGTGTCCCTGTCATGCTCTCTTCAGCTATTATGTACTGAAACAAGCTGATACGTTAGTGATCTTGCTGTACTGATCTTGATTCCCTATTTAGTATTTCTTATTTCTCTTTTTTACTCTGGTGCCTGTGATGATCCTGCAGTTCCGAACCCCTTGTCAGACTTGATAAATAGCTTTGCTCTCTTTTACAGCCAACACCAGCAGAAAACCTATTGATTTTTATTTATTCTGATGGTGCTGCAGTACTCTTGTCATCTCCTATCAGTATGCTGGGTGTCCTCTTCTCCATTAACTAACTATTAAAACAAACCAGAACACAAAAATTAAAGAAAAGAGTGCTGTGTAATGTAGCATTGTCCTAAATAACCTGTGAAGTGGAGTTTGTGTTAAGGCATTTTCCTTCAAATGAAGGGAGACACAAAGCAGAACTTGTGATAACATAACAAAGCAGTGCAAGAAAATCCTCTAGTGTCACTTGAAGGTGTGTAGATCTTTCAGATCCCACTAGGACAGTATCTGACAGCGCAGCCACAGAGGGTTCCTTGATTTTCTCTACTCTTAGACAGTAGTCAGAGGCTTTTTGGAAGGGACTCTGGAAATTGCTGTTGCTATTAAGTAAAGCAAGTGCATTCACTTTAGTTGAGGCAAATCACTGAGTTAAGAGCTGGTATGTGAAATGTACATATCCTTGGGCTGCAACTCGAGTGTATGGTTGAATTGCTCTCCTTGATAAGTTGCGCCCATGAATAGCAGGGCCCCACTGTGAAGGGTTACAGAATCAAATATGGGTTGGAAGGGACCTCTGGAGATCATCAAGTCCAACCCCCTCCTAAAGCGTATTCCCTGCAGTAGGTTGCACAGGCAAGCATCCAAATGGGTCTTAAATATCTCCAGAGAAGGAGACTCCCTCCCTGATGGAAATAGACCTTTGTACTTTTCCTGGTTTTAGTCAGTGATTTGAAATGTGGAACAGAAGATAGTCTTATGCTGAGGATGTATCTTTTTTCCCTCCTTCTTCCCTTGTATTTTATCCCACTTGTAGGACAGGAGGCTTGCCATGACCTCACCATACTGTATTGAACAACGAAGTCTGCAGTATGTCTGCCTATCGTGAATAAAATCCAGGCTTCTACCTTACAGTTTTGGTGCTAATAATAAACAGAATGATAATAGTAAATAGCAAGGACCACATCAAACTAGAGGAATGTGAGGCTGATGCCTTTAAATAGTGCAAACATCCCCATGCACTCTGCATACGCAGAATCGGAAGCTAATTGTTGTTATGTGCCAAATCGCGTATTGGCAGGATTAATGCAGCAAAGCCCCTGGCATCATGAAAACCTTAACCCCAAATGCTCTCTTTTGGCAAAAGAAAGAAATTTGGACTCTGGGCTACTCTTGCTATTAGATAACTGGCAGATCAAATATTTACAGGGACCATATTGTTTAGATTTTTCTTCATCCTGTTACTCTCAGCCAATCTGAACACAGAGCAGCTGGGGTTTGTTTACCCACCAAGATCTGAATCTCAGGCAGGTTATGCAGCTTTTATATTTTGACTGGCAAATGATAACATATAGGAAGCTAGTGATACCCAAGGCAGTGCAGATCAACGTGTCTGTTATTGTGCCGATTTCTGAAGTTTGGTGCAGTTCACCTCCCTCAATGCTACTTTATTTTTCTTGATGATTGAACAAAGAGTTTAAAGTATTAAGGGACTTGAGAATCTTTCAGTCTGTGGTCTTTGTAGTTAGCAATCTTGGAAGAATTTATGTCCCTCAGGAGAATAAAAACCCAAACCCAGGATTCCTGAGTATACATCCTCTGTAGCTTTCATATGCAAAGAAAGTCTTCTTAATATGACTCTCCTATGATTCTAACAATAAATCAAATCCATGTGTCCCTCTCCCCATTTTCCTGGTTAGGTTTGCTAGTAAATATATCTTATGGCTAGAAATGAATTGCAACAGTATTTTTGAAAGGCTGGTAGAATGTGGGAAGTTCAGACGTGCTGTGAGGTGCCCTAGCCAGGAATACGTGCCCTGACCACGTCTGCCAGCTGTTGGAAAGCAATAGCAGCCAGCTGGGTGGTTTCAAGTCTGGTGGTGTGCTGAAGAAAACAGAAAATAAGGCAATAAAAGAAAAATCTGAAATGATCACCATCTGTTTAGAAAACATTGTACCTGTTAAAATATGGATTTTCATTTTGTTCTCCTTGACTGGCTCAATTCATTGGAAGGTCTGGACCCAGAGAATATAAAGCATTTCACCCTGGTTCAGTGTGTTGAACAGAAATGTGTTAATTTTGATGAACCATTTGAGAAGAAGCTCACTGCAGGGGACCTTTTGAAAGCAAAAAGGGCAGAAAACTTTATAACATGGTGCACACCTCGCAGATACATACCAGCTGCTTTTACAGAATACTAACGTGGCTTCAAAATTGTTTTGTGAGACTCCTGTTGCACAGCCCAAATCAATCCAGCTTTGAACTGAAATAGCAACAATCTGCGCTGTCCTGTATAGGCATGAGACCTTGAGAGCTGCTCAATACATTCTTAACTGAGACTTCTGCCTTCGGAAAACACATTGGATGCTCCCACGTTGGCCTTTTGACTGTGTATAGTCTTGCCCATGTGTTAGGATGGCAGTGTGCCTGCACACAAAGTGTTATGCCAGTTTCACAGAGGTAGAAGTGCCAAGCAAAATGGACTTGGCTGGGCAGCCTGCAGAGCTTTCGGATTGTGCTGAGAGGCTGCAGTAAGTCTTTTTTGGTAACAAGAATGTCAGAGTAGTAGGACAAGTGTGTTCTCATGTTTGTTGACATCCGTATGTTGAAGGAGGTTGCTCAGGAAGGAAAGATGGTTCGCTGTGCATATGTCTGCTAGTGCTTGGCATAACTGAGGCAAGGCTGGGGTACTAAATTATAGGAGGATCTCTCAGCAGCCTGTGGAGAAAGAGTCATGGTAGGTAGTGTTGTTGGGGTAATGGCTGGATTGCTGCTATTCCCTCATTCAAAGTAGCAGTCAGCCTCCTTCCGCTGCTCCTCCTGAATGTGTAATCAAGGCAAGTGTCTGATGCCTTATATATATGTAAAGAGTTACAGAGAGACTTTAAGGAAATCTTGGTGGTTGCCTGTGTCTGGTTTCCATGAAGTACTAAAGAAGAGAGTATTGCACTGTTAGCTATAGCAGGCTGTGGGTTAGTTCTACCTGACCATCATGTGCCAGTGACTGAAAGAACTGCTAGCCACTCGAGGCAGCCCTTTTCTTGGGTGTAACAGCTGTACTTTTCCTTCATGAAACTGTAGTGATATGCATGGCTTTTCTTGATGTGTGCCTTAAATTCCTCAGACTGAGGGATAGGGGAATGGAAATGCTGGGCCTCTGGTCGTGATATCTTTATAAGACTATGGAACCATAGAAAACGTTATTCCTGCTGATCTGGAGTGTATGTTACCTAAATACACTGTACTGTAAATATGGATCGTGGTAGATCATCAGATGGGACAGGGAATTATTTTAAAAAAAAGACTATCTAGGTATATAGCCATAGGTGGACAAGAATTAAAAGTCAAATAAGCATCAGGGCCTCTTGAGTTCAGGCCCCAGGCTGGAGAATGGTTTTCCTATAATATGTAGGATTACTTTTAACAGGTAATCCCAGCATTTTATCTTACCCATGCAAAAGTGCCTGACCGCACCTGTGGAAGAACCAAAGAACTTTATGCCGTCTACTGGATAAGACTAACTTAGAATAATTGATTTTTAAATTATTGTTATTTTTCACAATTTTTAACAATATTCATAATGGAATGCGTTCCTTTCTAGATGGTACCACTAATAAACCAGGCCTGTGATGTCTTGCTGAGTAACTTGAAAGTCTATGCAGATTCTGGCAGAGCTTTTGATATCCAAAGGTACGTTCAACATACCAGAAACTAATACCAGGTTTTAAAAAAAAGTCAGTATCAGAAATTCAACAATTATTCTAAACATTCACCTACTGTATGCATAACAGAGGTTTTTTTTTTCTCTTGCTTTTGTAAGTGGAAATCACAGAACAAAGGATGTGTAATACAGATGCCTTTTCTTCCTTGGGGAGAGACACTGCATGCTTTAAAAGTAATTTTGGGAAAGCATCTACAGTATTTCCAGTTGTTGTTTAATGAAGTTTTAACATCTGGAAGCAGAAAGAAAAGTTGCACCAGTCCCTCTTCGACTACCGTCTACTTTCTGCCAATAATGTACAAATATAGGAACTGACCTAGTATCAAATCCTTCTGTTCCATTACTTTCATGCTTTTTTTGTATGAGATTTCTTGAGCGCTTAATCATTCTTGCCACATTCCTCCTAACCCTGTCTAATGGCATGCTAGCCTTTTGTGAAACAATGAGATTGGTACTCCAGATTAGAATGCACCACTAATTTATAAAATGGCACTTTAATATTTTCTGTACTGTGCTTTCTCCTATTTGTTATGCATTTATGATTGTATTATCTTATTTTTTGTTGCTTTTTCAGCAGGGATCTTCCCTCAATATTTTCTACCCTCTTCTCTGAGCAGACACAGTTTTTTTAAGGCATCTGTAAGATGTATGCATAGTTCAAGTACATCCTTTCTGTTAGGCACTGTTTTACCTACACATCATTTGCTAGGTTGATCAGCATCTTCTGAAGTTCCTCATGACTTCCCCCAACCTGGAGTAGTGCAAATAATTTTTTTTCATCTAAAGGAATGGATATTTAGCCACTATTTATCCATCCCCTGCACAGTACATGTGTATGTATGTATGTATGCAAGTGCCTGTGTGTGTACAAAGATCTCTTTATATTATACATCTAAGGAGTTACTATGAAACTTGGAGATACATTGCACTTACCATAGTGCTTTGATTAAAATTGAACTTTTCAGTCCTCCTGGGTTTTTCCCTTTTTTGCATTTGTCCTTTTTCTTTGCCTAGTTTTCTAGCTATTGATCCATGATGGGGTTTCACCTCTCAAGAGGCACTTTTGTAAAGTCGAAAAGAGTGATGTGGACCATCTGAAAATATGATCTTCCAGTTGTTTTATCATACTTCCATTTCAGCCAGTCTGACATATATAGATGTGATTCTCTCTGTCTTGGGAGCTATTTTTTGGTTGTAGGTACTCTATTTGCAATCTCTTGTCTTCTGTATGTTAGTTGTCTTTAGCCATTTTGTGTTTTGTCAACAACTCAAAATGTAATGTTTAAGCTTTGTGAGATAAGTGATTGAATACATCTGAAACTATTTTATTGTGGAATCTCTCTTTTAATATTTCAGTATTCAATAGTACATTTAGTGTGTGTGTAAGAGGTGAAAATCTGAAGTTGTTACTTAACTCCATAGCATTTTTTTTCTTCCACATTTGCCTTAGAGTCCTCAGAATAGCTGTGGTCCAAGTATTGTAGTTAGAGGTATTCTGCTTCATGGTATATACATGGAATATACTGGGCCCTAGTCCTGTTTTTTTCTAATTCCCGCTCACTTGGGTTAAGACACCAGAAGAATTTGATATTAGCTTTTTGTAGTAAAGAACAGTCACAGAAAAAATATAGCAAAACACTCAATTGCAAACAGATCGGAAGAATCAGAAGATTGCAAGGATATTTCACATTTGCAGTTCATTATCTCAAGTTACTATATGCGCTAATGCTCATTAGAAAAAAAGCTTGATGAATGGTCAGATATGTGGGGAAGGATTCAGTAAGTTCTAAAGTGTTGATGCCAAGGTCTACACATCACTTGTAGCTCTTAAAAAGTTTGCTTCTCCTCTGAAGAATTACGGGTTTCATGTGATGTCAGTTCCTTTTGGTTTTGACTGGGATTTTGTATTAGAAGGGAGCTATCAATAACAAGAAAGAGATCCTTAATAGGAAGTTTTACTTAAGGACCTTTTTACTGAATCATAGAATCACCAAGGTTAGAAAAAGCCTCCAAGATCATCTAGTCCAATTGACTACTTGGCACCAATATTTCCCTACTAAACCATGTCACTCAGTACCACATCCATGTATTTCTTGAACATCTCCAGGGACAGTGACTCCACCACCACTCTGGGCAGCCTGTTCCATCATTTAATGGTCACTTTTGGAGAATAAATTTTTCCTAATATCCAACCCTCACCTCCCTTCTCATCTTATCACTAGTTACATGGGAGAAAAGGCTGACCCTTACCTCACCACAACCTCCCTTCAGGTAATTGTAACTGTTCTAGTGGTAAGGTTTCCCCTGAACCTCCTTTTTTCCAGACTAAACAATCCCAGTACCTTTGTGCTTCAGATCCCTCATCAGCTTCATTGCCCTTGTCTGGACACTCCAGACATCTTTCTTGTGGTAGTGAGGGGCCCCAGACTGAACATAATACTCGAGATGCAGTCTCTCCATAGCTGAGTACATGGGAATGATCACCTCCCTGCTCCTGCTAGCAATGTTATTTCTTATACAAGCCAGGATGCCACTGGCCTTCTTGGCCATTAGGGCACACTGCTGGCTCATGTTCAGCTGAGTGTCAACCAATGCCCCCAGGTCCTTTTCTTCCATACAGTCTTCCAGCCGCTCTGCCCCAAGCCTGTAGCATTCCCTGGGGTTGTTGTGGACAAAGTGAAGGACCCAACACTTGGTCTTGTTGAACTTCGTTCCATTGGCCTCAACACAGTAATCCAGCTAGTCCAGAAGTCTTGTGACTAACAGTTCAGAACTGTTATGAATGTTCAGAATGTTCAGAATGTTCAGAAATGTTCAGAACTGAACTGGTATGAAATATTGTTTCTGCATTTTTAAGTGAGAAATTTTCTCTTTTGCAAACTACAAACACTGGTTATGAATTTCCACATTAGATTTCTAGATAATAACAAATACACTTGATTTTTTAAAATAAATTATTAGTAAAATTATTGAGCTACAGGAAAGCATTTTGATTTAGAAGAAGAGATTGTTATTAGTAAGTACTGGCATATGTCAGAATGATGGAAACATCTGTTAAAACTCAAATCTAAAAACAAAAAGAAAATCAGACTAAAATCGATGTTACATGGTGTTTATGGGATCGATATATTAATGAGTATGTAACTTACAGCTAATGGTTTATTATTCTCAATGCAGGTGTTACAACTGCTTTACTTTGGATGTTGTTGGTAGTGTAGCTTTTGGTACTGAGGTGGATTCTCAGAAGAACCCTGATGACCCCTTTGTTAAGAATTGCAGAACATTCTTTGAAATGTCTTTGTTTAAGCCTCTTCTTTTTCTAATCCGTAAGTATAGTCCACCTTTGTCTAGTTCTTTATGGTTATTTTCTGAAAATCATTCATGCAAAAGAAGCTCAAGCAGGAGCAGGAAGATGTATTGCAGACTTATTTCAGATGTGTTCAGAATTCAACCTACAGCCCAAGTATATCCTTTAGATTATCATAGTATGATCTACAACTCCTGTCATGGTTAATGTAACTTCCTCCAGAAACTGAGTCACAAAAAGCAATGCTTCATCCTGATTTGAGTGGAACATTTCTGGGACCGATAGCCTGTGGGCTATACTTCTATATTAAAACAGAGTAACTGTTACCTAATACATATTTTATAAATTATGTGTGGCCTTTGGAAGCCTGAGAACAAAGCTTTTGTTCATCCACATTACTTGGTAGAGAAACTGAAATCCCACCCATAAACAGCAGTGGACTAATAACCAGGAGAGACGTAGATGAGCATAAACAGATAACATGGGTCCTTTAAATTCTCATTTAAATAAATAGAAGTAGCCTAGCTGATGCTGTAAAGGATAAGGATAGTTAAGTGCCAGCACAGGTTGTCTTTAAGAGAATCAGTTTATTTTCACATGGGTAGATTGGGAATGCAACAATATGGTACAGAATAATTTAGCTCCAGATCTGGAACAGTAGGGCAGTGAGAAGTGGGGCTGAAGAAGCTGCAACATAATTAATATTGATAACGTAATTACAGTATTGCTATCTAGACCTGTTCACAGTAGTGTCAGGTACTGCGGTGGCAAAGCTTCCTGTGCCCATCTGATCCTACTGGCATTACAGATTGCACCTGTACTAGCAGCACATGAACTGTTTCCTTCTGGAACTCTGCATCCAAAATGTCCTGAGGTTAATGTTTAACCTGGTTGCAAAGTGGGATTTGTGACTAATTTCTGAAGGGACAGAGATTTGTTCCCAGTTTCTAATACTGGGACCTCCATTAAAAAAACAAAACAAAACAAAACAAACAAACAAACAAAAAAGACTTAATTTGAAAACTGTGTTATGCTTTTGGCAGCAGGGGGTTTCTGATGACTTTTTTTTTCTTCTCGGTTTTAAACTGTTCATGAGTTAATTACAGGTCTGTTTTAGTACAGGACTGCACTCTGGTGTCTAGCACCTGACTCTAAAGGTGATGGACTGGAGACCATCCTTGTAGTAACTTTCTATCTTAAGAATCTTTGATCCGCTTTGAAAAGCAAAGGAGTGCAGAGTGCAGTAAACCAATGCCCAAGCATTGAAAAGCTGTAAATGGGAATGACTACCACACAGTTGCATGCATCAGTGCCAGAATCTCCTAGGCTAAGTCAAGATCCCCCACCTCCTGTGTGTAATTATTTGCATAGGCAAGGAAAATTATTCCTCCCTTTGTTGTATTGGCTCTGTGGCATCAAGAAGCTGAACTGAAATCTGGAAGCATTATGGAAGACTTGCAAGTCAGGGCAAGCTTGGTGGGCATCTGTTCAAGCAGAGAAGTCACAGCCAAAATGGAAATTGTAAAAGGAAGTGCTGTACTGACATACAGGAGTGGAAGGGAGAGAAAGTAGAAAAAAACATCTTTCACAAAAATAACGCATCCCAGTTGATGAGATTTGTAATATTAATGAAAGGAGGGGGGTATTACATGCTTTTACACTCTACTTCAGTGTTTTCTTTTGTAAAAATCTCTTACAGTTTCTTTCCCATTCATAATGATCCCATTGCTTCGGATTCTGCCAAACAAGAAACAAAAGGAACTGAATGGATTTTTTATTCAAACTATAAAAAATGCAATTGTCTTCAGAGACCAGCAAGATGCAGCTGAGGTAAGGCCATTTTTATGAGAAATTTATGGATAAACAAATGCTTTGAGGAAAAACTGGAAGTGGCACGAGCCTCAGCTGAAAAAGGGAACTCAGTCTGTTTGAACATTCAAAGCAATTTAGTGAGGATTTTCTTCATTTTTAGCTTCATGTACCGTCATCCAGGCTTAGTGCTGATGCAGAACTGTTAAGACATTACAGAAAAGGCTGCTTCTCTCAGTATTTCTGTTCAAATAAAGATGCAGTGAATGTTGGATCTGGGATGACTTTCCAACCCAGTTTCTGGATCCAGAAGGAAGGAGATTCATCATGTAGATTTTTTTCTCATCTTAGTCGGGAGTCATTAAGCTTTTCTTAATAAAATGAGACAGGGAAGAGGCCCTACAGAATGATTCAATCCTGTCATTATCTAGCAGGTGACAAGGGTTTCACATATTCCTGTGGCAGTTTTTACTACTTCTGAAACTGGGAAAAGAGAACCCACATGTCTGTTTAAGAGCAGACATTTTGTATTGCTATGGCTAAAGAGAAAACTAGTACATTCTACTTAGTATGTAAAACAATTGATGTGTATTAGTAACAAATCAGCCGTTACCCATCTCTTTCATTTAGACATAAGGCAGTTCTGATTTTTGTTGTGTTAATCACTGTTGTGAAGTATCTGAAGGCACAGACATTTTAATAAAGTTCTCTCTATTTATGATGTATGAAATATTTTGAAACTAGTGTGTGCTTCAATTTTGGAATATGAAAGTTCTTGAAATCTTCTTTTCCTTTTTGGCCATTCTTTGCTGCTGAATGCATGTAATTTGCCTAAAAACAAGTTAACCACTTAATTATGGATGTGTAATGAGAAACAAAGAGTATAAAATAGAATTCCATAGTAAACGAAACAGAGACAAGTGTTGCATATCAGTTGACTGGAAATATGCTATAGCATACCTATCAAGAAGCTTTTAATACTGAAATAAAGGAGATGTTTCTTTCCACTTTGAAATGAACAGCAATTCTGATGAGAATAACAACACAGGTAAGGATGGATCGGATCATCCCAACTTCTTCTCACAGCTTAGCCCCACAGCTGTCACCTTGCAGGAGAGCGTAGATTTTAATTTACGCAATGTTGTATCTAGGGCACATTTAAAAATCAAATTGTACTTCAAAAATATTACTGCTTTGTACTGTGTTGCGTGTTCTGCTCTTTTTCTTTGACACTCCTTGTAGTGAATTCTCATGTGTTTGTTGTGCTTGATCATCCCATGCTTCCTATCTTTCGTCCAGCTCATCTCTCTAAGTCCTTTCCCCTCGTTAGCCTTTACGTCTTTTTCTCCACCCTTCTTTCCATCCAAAAATTTGTGTGTGCTGCTGAGTAGTCATAAATAATTCATGATTCAGAAACATGGGTGATGTGTGTAAGCTTGTTGCAGACACTTCATTTCTAGTGCATAGATCCAGTGGGAGCTTTTAATAGCCCATTTATGGAACTGTACGTATGGAGAGTTTTGAGTCAGATTTAGTTAATGTATTAACTGTGTGTGTATTAGTGTTATGTATTAGTAGAATGTATTTCTGTGTCAGTAACACTGAAAACATCAGTCAGGGACTAAATTCTTGCTTATATTAGAGATGGTCGTTCTCAAACTGCAGACTGCCCAGATAAAGGACAACAGGTGATTGTGTTTAGGACAGAAAGAAAAGAAAAATGAGTTTCTAGAGACAAGCAGGAGTCATTCTCTCCATATGCAATTTGTTTGCAGCTTTCAGTGGTTAATGGAGCAGACGGGTTTAAGATTGTGTTGGAAGGGATATTGGGAGGTGCAAAGCTCTCAGCCATAGGATTTGAATTTTGTGTGTTGCTGTGTGGAGCCAGGAGTTGGACTTGATAATCCTTGTGGGTCTCTTCCAGCTCAGGATAACATATGACAGTAGTAGTCCAGTATCAGGACAGCATGGAAAGTACAAGGTCCATGTTTACCTTAATAGCATATGCAAAAGTCCATGACTGGCAGTGATCCCACCTGCTCCTGGACTTCTACCTAATTTGCAAAGTTGTCATATGGGAACAGTTTCAAGTGCTAAGAGTTAGTCAGACTCTTAGGGCCAGCTTTCTGAGAGCATATTTAAATCCCCTGTGCAGTTCAAGAATCATTAATGCGGCTTTCAAAAGTGACTGAAAAGTTTGAAGCTTCCTTTATTTCCTATCTTCACCAACTGCCTTATTATCCACTCTTGGATTTGAAGTCAGTGGAGCACAAGTTTTGTTACAAGAAAAGACAATAATTTGCCAAAGACTTAAAAACGAAATGTGAAGTGGAGCAAAATATAACTGCTGTCCAATTCAGTGTAGGAATGTAATCTAAAGAGATTAGGTGTCCCAGGTAGCCCTGTGGTTGAAGAATAATTATGACCTGTGTCCTAGGTATAGCATGATGAAAGATAGCCACTGAAATCAATAGCAGTTTTGGCATTGAATTTTAATGATCCCATGATACAACCAGTAACTACTGGTTTCTTATGCTAATAATGAGAGCTGTAAGCAAAATCTTATGGTCTCCTTGTGCTGCATTAGATCAGTGGAAATTCCTTAGATTGCCATATTCCTAGATGTTACACTGTGCCCATCTTTTACTTCTCATTGATTTTATCACCATTAAAATGTTTTTGTTTTTATCTTCTGGGGGAGAAAAAAAAAAGCATTTGAAACATACTGTAAAACAATGAAAAAGCTCCTTGAAAGTGATTCAGCTGAAGCTTGTCTTCCTCTCATCTGCTGTGAACATGAACAAAGAATAAAAAAAGGCCAAAAAATGATGTGACAGGCAGTCAGCTTGTTATCATCCATGTTCCATCAGTAAATGAAACAATACTTCTAAATGCCTAAAGATAATCCTACAGGCAGATAGTAATTTTACAGCCAGGTTTAGATCTAATAACATGCTTGCAGCTCATATGAGATCTGTGATGTCACTTTTTCTCATTCCATCAGTTAGTGCTGCAGATGTCATTTTAATTATATATTGTATTTCTGTGGTTGGTCAAATAATTTCAGTCCTGGATATTCCACTCATTTGGATTATGTACAAAAACATTTAGTCATCGTACTTCAGAAATTTTAATATATTACATTTATTCATTGATTCAAATTATTGTATAAAGCTTTTTGCACTGTTTATAGGAGAGCAAATTCACCCTGCTCAGAAGAAGCTGCACAAATTTAATGCACCACTTAACATCTATTTTAAAGACTCCAGTAGGATTTAAGGGTTCAAATATCTTACTCTGATTGTCTGCCCAGGTTTAAATCTTTCCCTTAGGCAAAATGCTTCCAGAAACAGGGTGGGTAGAATGTTTGTTTGTTTCGATAAGTGATAGTTTGATAGATGTTCATTTAATAATCTGATAGGCAAATCATTGTTCATGTATGGTATTTTTTTTCTTCTGTTAAGTTGTTGCTTGGTTCTTGACATGCTAGTCTGTTATAAATGATCTTATCTACATGAAGTCTTTCATGGTGCTTGAAATTACAACCCCTAACGCTGTGGGATGAAAGTGACCTCCCTCAACAGAAGAAAGGCCAGAATTTTATTTTTAACCCATAGGAATAACATTGGGAATGTAACAATTTAAGGATATTGCAAAGCGTTGATATTTGAGGATCACAACAGATATGCAGGAAAATTCAGTTTTCAAAGTATATACACTGTTGTTAAGGAGAACTGGAGAATTCAAGGAGGTTTGCATAATCACAGAATGGCCAGGGCTGGAAGGGACCTCAAGGATCATGAATCTCCAACCCCTCCACCACATGCAGGGCCACCCACCAACCTCCACGTTCAGCATTAGACCAGGCTGCCCAGGGCCCCATCCAACCTGGCCTTGAACACCTCCAGGGACGGGGCATCCACAACCTCTCTGGGCAGCCTGTTCCAGCACCTCACCACTCTCACAGTAAAGAACTTCCCCCTGACATCCAACCTAAATCTCCCCTCCCTCAACTCAAAACCATTTCCCCTTGTCCTGCTGTTATCTACCCTTTCAAATAATCGATTCCCTTCCTGTTTGTAGGCTCCCTTTGGATATTGAAAGGCTGCAATGAGGTCATCCCACAGCCTTCTTTTCTCTAGGTTGCAACACATTCTTCCAGTGTCTCTTAATTTTTCCAGTCATAGTGTCTGCTGTGAATGCATAATACAAGGTCAGTGATCCATGCTAGGAAGATAGTGACCTTATGATGTTTCTGATGCTGATCAGCTGTTTCTTAGTGGTCTCAAGCTGTTTTGAAATGAGAGGGAGACGAGGCACAGAGAAGTATCACCACAACTGTATTCACTGACATCTCAGTTGGCAGTTCAATCAATCTGGCTGGATATCTATGGGCTGCCTGAATGCTTTTGCTGTATGTCTGGAGCAGACAAACGATGGTTGGACATTAGTAAATACTTCTTCTCCGAGAATGGTCAGCTGCTGGCACAGGCTGCCCAGGGAGGTGGTGGAGTCACTTTCCCTGGAGGTGTTCAAGGAACAAGCAGATGTTGTACTGAGGGACATGGTTACTGGGAACTATTGCTGGTGGGTGGACAGTTGGACTGGATGATCTTAGAGGTCTTTTGCAACCTTGGTGATTCTACCATTCTGTGATGGGAGAAGTGCTGCTCTTGTGCCATGTGGTGTTAAGCCACAGAGAAGCCCTGGTGCTTTCAGCCATGTAGATGACTTGACCTCCCAAGGATGGGTATGGCACTGGAATACTGTTTATTGTGCTAGGTCTGAAACAAAAGAGGTTGTCCTCTGGTCAGCAACTGCCAGTGAAAACAATTGCAACATCCTTCTCCATTTTTTTTCACTTCTTGTTCTTATTCCTGACTGATACTATGCCCAGTCCTTGGTAGGTACAAGTCCACATGCCTGGGCAGATACAAGTGGTTCCTGCTGAGTAGAACTTGGTTATTGCAGCATCACCTATGAAGGCCTAAAAAGGGCTGATATGTCAGGAAACTGAGCTG